TACACCCCCATACTACCCATCCACCAAACACCCACTACCCCACCAATACTACACACCAATACTACCACCAACAATCCAACCACCACTACCAACTAACCCAATACACCACCACCACTACTACCAACCATTACTTCCCACTCTCCAACCAACTACCACCCATAAATACCACCCATACTACCACCACCACAAACCCCCACAAAAACCACCCAAACTAAACCCCCCCCCAACCCTACCACCACCCCAAAAATACCACCCCCACCCAAAACTCCCCACCTCACCAAAACCCCTATACCCCCAATAAACCAACCCAAACTAAAACCCCCCAAAAATGACAGCACCAGTTATCGTGTGCTGACAATGACAGCACCAGCTATCGTGTGCTTACAATGACAACACCAGCTATCGTCTGCTTACAATGACAGCACCAGCTATCGTGTGCTTACAATGACAGCAGTTATTGTGTGCCTGCTATTTACAATGATAGAAGCCAAAGTCGGTTTACTTCGTATAATGGCACAAGATTACACTTGACGGATTAATGGATCAGATAACCGACACAATGATGAGTTAGATTCACAATGGCTTCCTCAGTCCAACACAGAGAAGAACAGTTAAAACCTGTAGTTACAATCTGTAGTAACTGTAATCAGTCCATCAAGACTGATCACATTGGCTCCAAGCTTAGGGACTGATTACCTCAAGATAAGATTTCGTTCGGATTTTTAACCCTGCAGGGTTAGCCACCGAAGAAAGTCAGTGCGTCATCGAGGACTGTCTCTTATTTCGATTGAATCCTCAATCTTGTCCCTCAGAATGCCACCCACACCAGTCCACTAACACCCAGGTATCTACTTGCTGCTAGGTGAACAAGGCAACAGGTGTAAGGAAACACGGGCCAGGAAACAGGGCCAGGAAACAGGGAAACAGGGCCAGGGCCGTGTGTGAAGCGGGAACTTCGCCGGCCAGGCCAGGTGGTCAACCAAACAAGATACACACGTCTCATGCATCAAGCCACTGTGTGTTGATATACAGAAAAGGTCAGCCAATGAGCTTATCAGGACATATAAATGCCCTCGAGACTAAGAGATATATCCGGGAAATGTTCATAAATACTTTTCTCAGATGAGGGTTGGGCAAAGCAAGGCAGTTCTGGTGGTCTCTGACTGCCTTAGCGACAGGGGCGACACACATTGGGGGATGACGGCATTTCCCGTCACTCCTTTGTATTCCTTATCATTTCCAAGTGTGGAAAGGATGTTCTTTGGCCTCTTGCAGAGACTAACACATCGTAGTGAAGTTCTCAGGTCTGTCATGGATATTTCTGTGGTTTAACGTGTCTCATTTTTACAAATAACCCGCACATAGAAGAGAGGAGTTTACGACGACGGTGTTCTTGCTCTTACACTCTGTGGGCACCAGCTCCCTTGCAGTGCTCCTCTTTCTGGTCCCTCCTACTCTTATTACCTCTTCCCCACTACTACTACCTTCCACCTCTATTACTACCACTACTGCTATTACTACTACCACCTCCTGCCTATATATACCCATCCTGCTCTCCTCGTTAGTATGACTTTGTAAATGGTCCAAGTCGGTCCGAAACGTTGTCGTAAGCTCTTCTCTACTATGTGCGGGTTATTTGTGTATCGTTCCAGTTACGGTATTGTTACTTCTTTTGTTAATTGTGTCTCATTTAGGTTGCTAAGAATGTTCTTTTGGCGGCTTTCAGAGGCTAACACATCGTAGTGAAGATTGACATGTCTCTCATGTATATTTCTGTGGTTTAACGTGTCTCATTTAAGCAGCTGTAGATGTAGTACTCTGTTTCTTATAGTTTGGCCAATCTTATTCTCCTGGAGAGTGTATATTCAACTTGTAGTACTATCGTGTTCTTGTGACAGACTGACACAAGCAGCGGAAGAAATAAATATTGACATTCTACTTACTGGGGAAATCCCCTATAAAAGTGACGTAGTTGGTGCTGTGATTGTAATGGTGAGCTTGAAGAAGCGGACAAATGTCACTCCCAAGGGCACTCCTAGGGCGGGGAAGGTGCCAGAGCCAGAGTTTGCTACCACCTGCAGCTCACAAGATTGCCACTCCCACGAGCCTCCCTGAAAGCCCCCAGATGGCAGACCAGAGGCCTAGCTTCTCCCTACGAGCCTCGTCAGGGCAGGGAATGTAGCTAGGCCTGGGGACAGTTGGTCCCAGAAGATGGGGAGGTACTTGTACCTCCTCCCATGGCAGACATAGGCCTCAGACAATACCAAGACAGGGAGCCAAGACTGGGTCACCATGTGGAAAAGATCCGGACCGGGAGAGTACCGGTGAATCAAGAAGAGAGACAGGTATCTAACATCTGGGTATCTTTATTTGTAGAGTTTCTCCATTCAAGGACATGATGAGAAGACTGTAGAGTTACGTTAGTGAAGAACACCATAGTCTTCAAGACTGAGGGACTGATTACCTCGTCTCTTGTATAGAGTTCTACTGTCTTCAAATTATGTCGTCGAATTTGTACTGATAAAGCCACTGGATGGCGAGACGTCTACAAATAAAGATACCCAGATGTTGCACTTGTGTCTAATTCTTGACGGTACTGAACGGAATACCATTTATGCACAAGGGTTAGGTTCCCTAGGCACCTTAGTAACTAAGAAGTTAGCCCAATTTATTATACCTAGAGATATGTTCCCAATAACTAATTTTAAAATATAACAAGATCAGCAGCTCTACTCGTAGCGCACTTATCTCACACAGTGAGGTCCGGGGCTCGATCTCGGTACGGGTGGAAACATTTGGACGTGTTTCCTTAAGACACCTGCTGTCCATGTTCACCTAGCAGTAAAATAGGTACCTGGGTGTTTGTGGACTGGTGTGGGTCGCATCCTGGGTGTTAGTGGACTGGTGTGGGTCGCATCCTGGGTGTTAGTGGACTGGTGGGGGTCACATCCTGGGTGTTAGTGGACTGGTGTGGGTCACATCCTGGGTGTTAGTGGACTGGCGTGGGTCACATCCTGGGTGTTAGTGGACTGGTGTGGGTCACATCCTGGGTGTTAGTGGACTGGTGCGGTCACATCCTGGGTGTTAGTGGACTGGTGTGGTCACATCCTGGGTGTTAGTGGACTGGTGTGGGTCACATCCTGAGTGTTAGTGGACTGGTGTGGTCACATCCTGGGTGTTAGTGGTCTGGTGTGGGTCGCATCCTGGGTGTTAGTGGACTGGTGTGGGTCACATCCTGGGTGTTAGTGGACTGGTGCGGTCACATCCTGGGTGTTAGTGGACTGGTGTGGTCACATCCTGGGTGTTAGTGGACTGGTGTGGGTCACATCCTGAGTGTTAGTGGACTGGTGTGGTCACATCCTGGGTGTTAGTGGACTGGTGTGGGTCGCATCCTGGGTGTTAGTGGACTGGTGTGGGTCACATCCTGGGTGTTAGTGGACTGGCGTGGGTCACATCCTGGGTGTTAGTGGACTGGTGTGGGTCACATCCTGGGTGTTAGTGGACTGGTGTGGGTCACATCCTGAGTGTTAGTGGACTGGTGTGGGTCACATCCTGGGACAAAACGTACCTACTTTGCGGGAAATGCTCAACATAACAAGGGTCTTTCTATATAGTAGTATGTCACTGATGTCAGCTATGGTCTGTATACCTTGTACATGTACTGGTATACCTTGTACATGTACTGGTATACCTTGTACATGCACTGGTATACCTTGTACATGTACTGGTAGTAAATAACAAAAAAAAAGGCACAATACCGTGACTGGAACGATACACAAATAACCCGGACATAGAAGAGAGGAGCTGACCACGACGTCTCCTGCTCCACTTCTGGTTAGTGTGACTTTGTAAATGGTCCAAGTCGGACCGAAACGTCGTCGTAAGCTCCTCTCTTCTATGTGCGGGTTATTTTCGTACTGGTAGAAATAATAATTATTAATTGGAAGATGTAGATAGAACAGAGTTCACGATATTATGGTAGAAAATATGGAATATAACAAAATAAATTTTTCCATTCCTATTTACCAAATAATTTTAGACAACTATGCACAAGATAATGTAACACCATATATTGGTCCATTATAAAACCCAGTTTTTGAGAAAAAAAATATAATCCATCTGAATATAATAAGCTTCGCTCTTGACACAGTAAACTACACTGGTTCTGAGTGTCTATCAACCTGGAACAATACACAGTAACCTGGACAGTCAGAAAGTAGCCAGAAGGTAGCCAGAAAGTAGTCAGAATGTAGTCACAAAGTAGAAAGAAAGTAGCTAGAAATTAACCAGAAAGTAGCCAGAATGTAGCCAGAAAGTAGCTAGAAAGTAGCCAGAAAGTAGTCAGAAAGTACCCAGAAAGTAGTCAGAATGTAGTCACAAAGTAGAAAGAAAGTAGCTAGAAATTAACTAGAAAGTAGCCAGAATGTAGCCAGAAAGTAGCCAGAAAGTAGTCAGAAAGTACCCAGAAAGTAGTGAGAAAGTAGTCAGGAACTAGCAAGAAAATAGACAGAAAGTAGTCAGAACGTAGCCAGAACAACAGAAAGAAGGAACATTGCAACAGGCCTACTGGCCTATGCGAGGCAGGTCCAATTCTCCCACCGGCTTAAACCAATGCCTAGACCTAGTGAGGTCAGACACGTCACTTAAGGAAGGAGCATGGCATCAGACCCACTAGCACAAGCTAGTCAGGTCCAACTCACACCCACCTACACCTACTCATGTATTTATCCAACCTATTTTTAAAGCTACACAACGTTTTAGCTTCTATGACGGCACTCGGGAGTTTGTTCCACTCATCCACAACTCTAATACCAAACCAGTGCTTTCCTATATCCTTCCTGAATCTGAATATTTCCAATTTAAAGCCATTACGACGTATCGGTTCGACCTGGACCATTAATTCTCACCTCGATGTGGGTTATTTATGTACTGTTCCAGTTAAGGTGCTGTGCCTTTTAATTCAACATGGAACACTAACAATGTTTTTTTTACCTTTCCAGATTCGTAAACAAAGAGTTCCAACCATGGAAACGGATATTTAACACATCTCAGCTCAGTGGCCTTCACACTTGCCTAATGGATCTGTGCACTCTGGAAGACTGTCTCCTTCGCTAGAGGTCGGAGGAGGACACTCGTGTCCAGTGTTACTCGTGATCTTTTCGAAGACACCTTTAGAATCTCCTACTCCACATAAACTTAGGATGGAAAGTAAACAGATGTATTTAAGTGTTGTTCCTCAAACAGCTTGACCCAAAACTCTGGGCCTTAGGTAGGCCAAGAGAGTTTCCATGTACCTTCGGGCTCCTCACTGCTTTACCAGTTAACCTTACAAAAACTGTCATTGGCTCTTCAGATCAGCCGAAGAAAGATGCCAGTGTCCCTTCAGGCATCTCCAATGGAAGGTTTAATAGTGAAGCAAATGTACCACTTGTCACCATAGACAGAATAATTTTGTAGTCGCCGTTTTCCAAATCTGCTGGGTGATGTCAGAAGCAACTGAAAGCCCCCAGAAAACGAAACGATTAAGTCCAGTATTTTACTGGATCCAGTTCTTGCCGCTTGTCAAAGAAAATTGTTTTCAGATGAAGATGGGATTTATTAATCGCATGAAGTGTTAGAAGTAATTGAAGAAATACTGGTACAAAATACTGCTAGTGTGTTTTACAATAATTAATGATACTGGAAATTGATAACAAATATTTTACACAACACTGGTTAGCTGTAAATGACCGTTGTTCAGGTCTACATTATGTTTACCTGGAAGATGTAGATGGAACTGTGTTCCTGGAACACAATTCCATGTTGCACAAATGTCTCATTCATCTTGATGGCTTTCTGAATCATTTACATCAATTACTATTTACTGCTTGCATAATTCCAGAGCACAGTGCCGTCACTGATGGCACTTACACCGGCCACACCTGTAATAGCTTGTTACACCTGTATTCCTGTTTTCCATTTGTACATTCCAGTCATATCCTCCTTATTCTACGTTTTCCAGGAGTACAATTCAGAGCCTCCAGCCTATTATCGTAAGAAATGATTTAATACAGTACACAGGCTTATCTTCGTCATTCTTATCTGCTTATTTTAGCGTGTTCGACCAATGCATCTCTAGTGCATCTATAACCAAAATCCCCCAAACGGGGATTAAAGAATACTCTCTGGAAACTGGAAGTGTGGCAGGGTTGACATCCGGTGTGTCCACGGATGCACACCTGTAAACAAAACCCAGACATGCATCTTTCCGCCATCAGAATAATACTTATCTATATAAAGGTAGCAACCCTGTTGCTACCTTAATATAGAAGTATGTCTGGTAATGTTTACATGTGTCCAGCAGTACTGCTGCTACCTCATTCTTCATGGTAGCTACGTAGTAGGAACAAATACTATGTTTGCCCTGTTATATTCTGTCACATAGTATGGATTGCAGTGGGAAAATTTACCAGCCTAAGCTGGGAGATTGCAATACGAAAGTGAGGATGTGGGAAGGTATTCCAGCGAGGGTTTATCTGCTCTGGCAGCTTCAAAGGGTTCATTCCAGCGCTTGAGAATTACCGTCTTCCAGGAAGGCCTGTCTCTTGTACACTGAGACACACACTTCTCGGTGTTTAGTGAGAGGTAAACATACGATGTTGTATACTTCTCATTCTGACTCACCCTCTGACTTCCCACACACTACCGATTAACGCACTCTACGCATGCTATAAACACACACACACACACACACACACACACACACACACACACACACACCACTCCTGGAGGAGGAGGAGGAGGTATCTTAATGTGAAAGACACAAAATGAGAGGAAAAAAGGCGCAGAAAAGAGAGAGAGAGAGAGAAAGAGAGAGAGAGAGAGAGATAGAGGTACAAAGGTGTATATGTGATAGATTAATACAACTAAATACACCTGCAGTGTGTTGCTATTTTGCTATATACGAAAATATATTATGGAAACTAAAGTTGGTTATGTTTCACTGTCATATTCCATCACACAGGATGGTGTTTCACTGTCATATTCCATCACACAGGATGGTGTTTCACTGTCACATTCCATCACACAGGATGGTATTTCACTGTCACATTCCATCACACAGGATGGTATTTCACTGTCACATTCCATCACACAGGATGGTGTTTCACTGTCATATTCCATCACACAGGACGGTGTTTCACTGTCACATTCCATCACACAGGACGGTGTTTCACTGTCATATTCCATCACACTGGACGGTGTTTCACTGTCACATTCCATCACACAGGACGGTGTTTCACTGTCATATTCCATCACACAGGACGGTGTTTCACTGTCACATTCCATCACACAGGATGGTGTTTCACTGTCACATTCCATCACACTGGATGGTGTTTCACTGTCATATTCCATCACACAGGACGGTGTTTCACTGTCATATTCCATCACACAGGACGGTGTTTCACTGTCACATTCCATCACACAGGATGGTGTTTTCACTGTCATATTCCATCACACTGGACGTGTTTCACTGTCATATTCCATCACACTGGACGGTGTTTCACTGTCACATTCCATCACACAGGACGGTGTTTCACTGTCACCTTCCATCACACAGGACGGTGTTTCACTGTCACATTCCATCACACAGGACGGTGTTTCACTGTCACATTCCATCACACAGGACGGTGTTTCACTGTCACATTCCATCACACAGGACGGTGTTTCACTGTCACATTCCATCACACAGGACGGTGTTTCACTGTCATATTCCATCACACTGGATGGTGTTTCACTGTCATATTCCATCACACTGGATGGTGTTTCACTGTCATATTCCATCACACAGGACGGTGTTTCACTGTCACATTCCATCACACAGGACGGTGTTTCACTGTCATATTCCATCACACAGGACGGTGTTTCACTGTCATATTCCATCACACAGGACGGTGTTTCACTGTCATATTCCATCACACAGGATGGTGTTTCACCTGTCCCCTATGTCCTTCAATTCCCCACCTGGATGGTGTTTCACTGTCATATTCCATCACACAGGATGGTGTTTCACTGTCACATTCCATCACACAGGATGGTGTTTCACTGTCATATTCCATCACACAGGACGGTGTTTCACTGTCATATTCCATCACACAGGATGGTGTTTCACTGTCATATTCCATCACACAGGATGGTGTTTCACTGTCACATTCCATCACACTGGATGGTGTTTCACTGTCATATTCCATCACACAGGATGGTGTTTCACTGTCATATTCCATCACACAGGATAGTGTTTCACTGTCATATTCCATCACACAGGATAGTGTTTCACTGTCATTCCATCACACAGGAGTGTTTCACTGTCACATTCCATCACACAGGATAGTGTTTCACTGTCACATTCCATCACACAGGATGGTGTTTCACTGTCACATTCCATCACACAGGATGGTGTTTCACTGTCACATTCCATCACACAGGATGGTGTTTCACTGTCACATTCCATCACACTGGATGGTGTTTCACTGTCACATTCCATCACACAGGATGGTGTTTCACTGTCACATTCCATCACACTGGATGGTGTTTCACTGTCATATTCCATCACACAGGATGATGTTTCACTGTCATATTCCATCACACAGGATGGTGTTTCACTGTCATATTCCATCACACAGGATGGTGTTTCACCGTCACATTCCATCACACAGGATAGTGTTTCACTGTCACATTCCATCACACAGGATGGTGTTTCACTGTCACATTCCATCACACAGGATAGGGGTTTCACTGTCACATTCCATCACACAGGATGGTGTTTCACCGTCACATTCCATCACACAGGATAGTGTTTCACTGTCACATTCCATCACACAGGATGGTGTTTCACTGTCACATTCCATCACACAGGATGGTGTTTCACTGTCACATTCCATCACACAGGATGGTGTTTCACTGTCATATTCCATCACACAGGATAGTGTTGCACTGTCACATTCCATCACACAGGATAGTGTTGCACTGTCACATTCCATCACACAGGATGGTGTTTCACTGTCATATTCCATCACACAGGATGGTGTTTCACTGTCACATTCCATCACACAGGATGGTGTTTCACTGTCACATTCCATCACACAGGATGGTGTTTCACTGTCACATTCCATCACACAGGATGGTGTTTCACTGTCATATTCCATCACACAGGACGGTGTTTCACTGTCATATTCCATCACACAAAATGGTGTTTCACTGTCATATTCCATCACACAGGATAGTGTTTCACTGTCACATTCCATCACACAGGATAGTGTTTCACTGTCACATTCCATCACACAGGATGGTGTTTCACTGTCACATTCCATCACACAGGATGGTGTTGCACTGTCACATTCCATCACATAGGATAGTGTTGCACTGTCACATTCCATCACACAGGATGGTGTTTCACCATCACATTCCATCACACAGGATGGTGTTTCACTGTCATATTCCATCACACAGGATGGTGTTTCACTGTCACATTCCATCACACATGATGGTGTTTCACTGTCACATTCCATCACACAGGATGGTGTTTCACTGTCACATTCCATCACACAGGATGGGGTTTTCACTGTCATATTCCATCACAACAGGACGGTGTTTCACTGTCATATTCCATCACACAAAATGGTGTTTCACTGTCATATTCCATCACACAGGATAGTGTTTCACTGTCACATTCCATCACACAGGATAGTGTTTCACTGTCACATTCCATCACACAGGATGGTGTTTCACTGTCACATTCCATCACACAGGATGGTGTTGCACTGTCACATTCCATCACATAGGATAGTGTTGCACTGTCACATTCCATCACACAGGATGGTGTTTCACCATCACATTCCATCACCTATGTGATGGAACTTGTGATGGTGTCACCCTGTCATATTCCCGTACTCAGGGTAATACAGTCCATCAGTTTGGTGAATATTTCAAGGCACGAGATGAATATTGTCGAGCACTCGACTAGGGAATCAACCTTCCTTAATACTCTCTTGATGCTGCTAATGAAGATTTAAATCCAGTAATTAATACCATCCCTTTTCGCAAGTGAACCCGATTTCCGTCCATTCTCAAGGGGCATTACGGACCCTATATAATGGTAACAATCCAGAATGGGTTCAGTGGGTTTGAAAGCGGAATAATTTTTTTTTTCGATACAGTAGGCCTAGAAATGTTTATAATCTGAAGAGGCTATTGGTGAAAATGAGAAATTTTAGTGTGTGTGTGTGTGTGTGTGTGTGTGTGTGTGTGTGTGTGTGTGTGTGTGTGTGTGTGTGTGTGTGTGTGTGTGTGTGTGTGTGT